TATTAAGTTACTAAATTTTTAACAATCACTTTTATTAAAAATTCACATTAAGTATAATCGAACCTGTCATTAGAGCTTCAAAATTTTAAATGTTGCACTTTTCGAAATTTTCGTAAAAAACTAACCGTTAAAAAAATTTTTTAATTTTACATGCATGCGCAGAGTAATATTCTACTTTTGAACCAATCACAGAAGGTTTGTCCATGTCACATGCTCCAAGCTTCAACATGATTCTATAATATCATAATTTCCATTCACTCCAACGAACGTATGTTGGAATGAGTTGAACTAGAAACCTAAGAGTGGACATCTCAGCTTTTTTCGTGTATCAAACGTCATAGCTTAATGTCCATGTTTTTGTGAATTTTTTCCATTACTATTACATAGATTAGACAAAGACAAATGATCAACTTTGATTGTACGTAGGCTGGAAAAGTTTCTGCAAACAATATGAAAAAAAACATGTAAAATTCGGGAAATGGCGTGCATCTCTTTGCAAAGGGGGCAGGGGGTGTAAGAATCGCTTCGCATGCAAAGTCGAAATTTACTTCTTTTAAATAATTACATTTTCCTAAAAAGCGTTCAAGCTAATGCTATTTGCCTATAGTAAAATAGCATTTAACTAATTGCTATTTACTTACGACATATTATATATATTTTTTATTATTCAAATGCTAATACTGACACAATGTTATGTAAATTTACACTTAAATAGTTTTAAAAAACCTTTAAGTGTTTCACACAGATTGTAAACATTTTGACGCACACTGTCAAGAAGAAATAGCTTTCAAAATAAATGTTCACATATATTTATACTAACCTAATAATAATTTTGCAAATTAGAGTACTTGAGACATGTACAAAATCTGTATAAAGATCCGAAAGAATCTCACATATAAAATCGAAATTTGATATGTTAATCTGATAAAAGAACTTCAATAATAAAAAAAAGCTGTAAATAAATAAAATATTTATACAATCCGATTATTATTCTAATTATCCATTTACGCCCGCGTTAGTATTTCTTTGGCAAAATAACTGCTTTAATTTTGTCATCCACTGAGGAAAGTTTATGCAAGCACATTTTCAATTCCTTTAAAAAATCATATTGACTTATTATGCGACAAAAGAAATTATATTTAAATAAAAATTGTTATTGCAATATGTGTATAGAAAAGATGATAGATGAAAAAGTTATAAATAAGATTGGTATTTGTAACATAAGATTAAAGAATGTTTAAAGTTAATTTGGGAGAGTAATATAAACACGAATATTAATTTTACTAAACAATTTTTGATTACATTAAATAATAATAAACATAAAAATT